TATTTCACATAGATTCACCATGGGGTTTAAACTGCAGACATTTTATTACCAGTCGTCTATTCTCACTGTATCACTAGAGCTCTTATAAGAGGAGGAAGTTGAGTTAATGTCACGGTTATCAACTTGATGTTAATGGAAAATCTGCAGTTTCTAATATTTTACAAAATGTAAAACACATATAATCTTTCAGAGCTCCCTAAGAGATATAAGTTAGTCAAGAAATCAAATGATATCTTCTAACAAATCTGCCATTAAAGTCTGGTTTTACAGTGACATTTTTTATTTGTCATAGGAATTTGAAAACTGCTTTTGACCGCAAATATTCTCTTCTTTCCACAGTTAAAATTTCCTTCCATAATGAAATAAGCAATCACGATATCATGATGTTTAAAAATGTACAAAGTTTGAAGTTAGGATGTGACCTTCAAGACACATATTTTTCTCCCGGAAGATCTAAGTACTTTGCTGCCTGGGGAATCACAGGCCTTCAGACCTCTGTAAAGCAATACTGGGAAGTAGATGTTGACAAGTCTTTGGACTGGGCTGTAGGAATGTGTCGACGAGGACCATCACTGATGAATGGCCCCGCAATCTTGAAAAAGGGTGTGTTTCTTCTTTTACATCAGAAGGAAAATAATTTCAACACTCTCTTGACAACTTCTCCACCAACTTTTCTCTATTCAGAGAAACCATTGGAAAGGGTTGGTGTACATGTTGATTTTGATTGTGGCAGTGTGAGTTTTGTTAATGTGGCCAAAAGTTCCCTGATATGGAGATACCCAGATAACTCTTTTCGTTGCCCACTCACACCATTTTATTGCACTGAGCATACATTATCATGAGCTACTTTGGTATCTGAATTAAAGAGGGAGCAAGTGTGCAAAAAAAACCTTGTGTTACTTTCATTTTATGTTAATACTATGCCTTGTGTCTCATTTTCTGAAATGTTTATTGATGTGCAAAGATTAGAATTCATGAAAAACAATGAAGCAAGTTGGTGATTGCTTGATGATTGAGGTCACCAAGCTTGAGATTCTTTCTTCCAGGTTCTGCACTTGAGTCAGAAACCTGGGCAATAAATGGACAATAATTATTTCAGCCTTTGGGTTAGGGGTAATACCAAGTCTGATCTCTGTAAAACTTGTTTGCATTTCTTGATTAAATTTGTGTAACTGAAACATACTTTGTGTTAATAAAAGAATTTACACACCAAAAAAAAGTTTATTTTATATTGGTTCATTTACAAAGTTAGTATACATTTCTTTTCACAGCAGATATTTACCATTTCCTTCTCCCAGCCCTCCCTCTTATATCTTGCCAACTAAATTGCTCTAGTAGCTCTAACAGGTTGTTCGGTGGTTTGTTGATTTTTGTTGGGTTTCTTGTTGATGTTGTTGTTGAGATGTTGCGTTTGTCTGTGTACAGAATCTTATCATGTGTTCCTAGTGATCATTTGATTATCTCTTCGCTGATCTTTTGTTGCTGCTGACAAAATACCTGAAGACGTTCTATAATTTTCGTCATTTCTCAATGACAATTGATATAGTTGATATAGTTTCCAGAGGTATGTTAATTCAGAAGTGATCTAGATGTCTTTTATTTCCTTCTCTTGTGGCCTTGCCCTACCAAGGACATCTGATGCAATATTTGGTCCTTGTTCACAGGGAAAACACTTTTAGTCTTTCTCCACTGAAGGACAAATTCAAACCTCGAGTTGCTTTAGGCAGAATCTTAAATGGTCCAGGATGTATGCAAAGAAGATGGAAAGAATATACTGAATCACTGCATCGAAAGGAATTGGCAGACACAGAAGAATTCCATCAAACAACATATGGGCAAGAGCTTGTGGTGATGAAGGAAGAAGTTCAAGCTGCTTCAAAGGAAATAGCAAAAAATGAGTCCAATTCATGTATTTCAGCTAACAGATGGTGTTAGCTGGATGTGCTCACCAAGTTGTGCCACGAAATCTGGAGAACAACCACTTGACCAACTGACTGGAAGAGATCTCTATATTTGCTCCCTTTCCAAAGAACGGTGACTCAGCTGAGTGTAGAAACTATAGAACAATATTACTGATTTCACATGCAAGCAAGATTCTACTGAAGCCTATCCAAAAAGGACTGGAATAGCACATCAGCAGAGAACTGCAAGTAGTCCAATCTGGGTTTAGAAGGGGTCATGGTACTAGGCACATTGTAGCTAATGACAGATGGATCTTGGCTGAACGCAGGGAATTCCGGAGCAAAGTCTATCTGTGTTTCATTGACTATGCAAAGATGTTTGACTATGTGATTCATAACAAACTGTGGCTGACTCTGAGAAGAATGTGAATACCAGAACAACTGAACATGCTAAAGCGAAACCTATACTTGGGCCAAGAGGCATTCATGAGATCAGAGCAGGGAAATACTGCATGGTTCAAACTTAGGAAGGATATATGTAAAGGATGTGTCCTCTCTCCATACCTTTATAACCTGTATGCAGACCAGACTATCAGGAAGGCTGGGCTCTATGAGTAGAAATGTGGTGTCAGGATTGGAGGAAGATCTATCAACAATCTGCGTTATGCAGATGACACAACCCTGCTTGCTGAAACTGAGGAGGATCTGAAACATTTCTACAGAGGGTCAAGGACTGTAGGCTTCAATACAGATTGAGGCTCAATGTCAAGAAGACAAAGATTCTCATCTCTGGACCAATTGGCAGCATCAGGATGGATGGTGAAGAGATTGAAACTGTTCACAGCTTTACATTGCTTGGCTCCACAGTCAACCCTGTTGGCACCAGCAGCCAGAAAATTAAAAGACATATTTCGATGGGAAAGTCTGCTGTTAGGGACCATTCCAAAGTACTGAAGAGCAAAGGTGTCACTCTGGAGACTGATGTGCGTCTGATACAGGTTATGGTCTTTGCAATCACTTGTTATGCATCAGAGCTTTGCGCAATGTCTAGGGAGAATAGAAGGAAAATTGTTGCCTTTGAGCTGTGGTGCTGGAGAAGAGTTTTGAGTGTACCATGGACTGCTAAGAAAGCAAATAGCTTCAATCTGGAAAGAGTTAAACCGGGCTGCCCTTGGAGGCAAGAATTCCGAGGCTTAGTCTGCCATACTTTCGACATGTTGTAAGAAGGGACCAGTCCTTGGAGAGGGATATCATGCTTGGGAGGGTGGAGGGACAGCGCAGGAGGGGAAGACCCTCTATGAGGTGGATTGATTCAGTGACTCGGATAATTGGGGTGGGAGTGTCAGAGACAGTGCGATTGGCACAGGACAATGCAGGGTTTAGGACTCTCTTGTACCTAAGGTCACTATGAGTCCAGGTGACTTGACGGCATATTTTATATCATGCCCAAAGTATGGGATTTGAAGTTTCACCATTCTTACATTGAAGAAATATTATGCCCATAATGATACTTTTGCTGTTTTTCTTCTGTTTTTAGGAATCGTGGTATATTGAATTTTCTTTTTTTTTATTAATTATAATGAAAGTTTACAGAGACTTTGAATTTCCATTCATTCACTGCTATTACACTTGTCTTCCTGCCCATCCCTCCCTCCAATTTGCTCTTTTCTTTGAAAAGTAAAAGAAAAATCCTTTCATTGTTATACAGTCCCTCCCCCCAAGTCCACTACACTGTGCATCCTTCATTCTGGACTCCTATCATGACAATAATACCTAATCATGTATCCCTTATAAACAGTTCTCTTCCTCATCTGTTGCAATGTAGTCTAGTAGTTTATTTACCTCCTCTTGTAAAGTCTCCCCTCAACCCTGATGTGAGTCCCATTTTACAACAGTGGCACTGTGCAATATTTGTCCTTTTTGTGACTGAGATATTTCACTCAGCATAATGTCCTCCAGGGTTACTCATTTTGTATATTATTTCACGAGTTCCTATTTTTCAATGCCACATAGTATTCCATTGTGTGAATATATCAGAGCTTCTCTATCCATTCCTTTGTTGATGGGCACTTGGTTTGTTTCCAGCTCTTTGCTATTGTGAACAAAGCCACGATAAACGTGGGTGTTCATATATATGCTTGGATGGTGCTCATGGTTTCTTTAGGGTGTATTACCCACAGTGGAATTGCTGGGTCAAATGGTATTTCTATTTGCAACTCTTTTGAGAAAGCACCGTACAGCCTTCCATAGTGGTTGCACCATTTTACACTCCCACCAACAGTGAATAAGGATTCAAGTTTTTCTGCAACCTCGACAGCATTTGATGTTTGCTGTTCTGTTAAATTTTGCTATTCTTATTGGGGTGAGATGATATCTCATAGTTGTTTTGATTTGCATATCTCTTAGAGCTAGGGATTTTGAACATTTCTTCATGTGTTTCTTGGTCATCTGAAAGTCTTCTTTTTTTTCTTCTTTTTTTTATTGGGAAAAACATATTGGGGGTACAAGGAGGTGAGGGTTGGGGGCAGAAAGGTGAGGATGGGCCAGGATGCAGTTGCAGAGCTGCACAGCTTGGTCAGTGGGTGGGGCAGGTGAAGGAAATGATGAGGATCCATAGCGGACCAGATATAC